CTCAGTCCTCGTTTGGTATCCCTTCCAGTACAGCAGCATTACTTGTTTAACCCATTCACAGCATGAAATCAAAATTTACTGGCATTCCAGCAGTCTGATTGAGAATTTCCTTTGCCCATGGATTGAATCACACCCCAAAATAGGTACGTCTACGTATCATCACCCATGGACAGCTGATGCTGATGATAGATATGCTGGCTTTGTTCCATATGTATCTGTAGCCAGCTTAAAAGTTTCCCCACAGCATATATAAGAAAAGCGATACATTTTTGAATATCTCCTGTTAGGGTGATCAGGAACGTACGAAAGCGAAGAAAGATATGAAACAAAGAGCTCTAAATAACAGGACCAGCCACTAATAGTTAATTTAATGAATATACTAACGAGGTAGCTGCTGAGTCGTCGAAAACGACTCGCAACTTTACTTTTTCTTTAAAGACGCAATGGTGAGGGAGAAAATACTTACAAAGCGGCAGGCAACATATAACCTTCATCCAAATATTCCTTTAAAAAGTTGACACATTAAAACTTAAGGTGAGGACGATTTTGAAGTTTTCATTCCAGGGTTGGGAACCGACGAAAGGCTTCTTGGCATAACTTTCAAAGAAATTCCAAACTTCTTTTTAAGGGCAAACGCAACGAATAAACATCTGACATATGTCTTAAAGAAATACTCTTTACAATCATTTCCAAGCAAAATCGTCGCTCTAATTCACCTGCACGTTCTTCAAAGGCTTGCTTAAGTTTGCCTACCAATCCTTGTCTTCTGAACAAATGGCAGCCCTGGAAGAAACTTTATCTGGCCGACACAGAGAAACTTACAAAAGAGACGCATTGTAGCTTGAAGAACGAAGGATGTGCAAGTCGTATGTTAAAGGGAATGTTTCAGTTTGTAGAGTTAATAGTAAAGCTCGGTTAACTTTTAACTATGGTAGGCGCTACGAGGGATGTGAGGCACGTTGAATTGTTATCAAAGTAATCTAAGAACCAAAATCCAAAAGGACACGACAAGATGTCAATGTGCCGGATCGATTTTTGACGAACACGAAAACAGTAGCCAACAGGGCAACATCACTGCTTAAATACTGAGCCCGAGAGAGGTGGAGGTAGATGGCGACGAATTAGAGAACGAAGCAATTTCCGATAAAAAAAAGCTGGCGCAGTCTGGTGGCCAAAGACAAAATAAAATTATGTAAATGCAGTAGGGAATGATAACGCACCGCAGGTTCGACAGCATCGAGAGATCCATGAGTGCCGTTGATGACCCCTTCTAGACAATTCAGACTCAACGCAAGTCGTTTTCATTCCCTAAGCCGTAAAGCAGGAGTTATTTTAAGAATATTTTAACAATTAGATTTCCCAGAACTAAGGCTATCATAGAAAAATCGGCGATAAATACCGATCTAATTGTGTTAATTTTTCTAGTTTTTTTTCATCTGATGGCTTGGGGCATAGCTTGCCAGAGCAACATTTATGGTTTCTAAAGTTCGGCATCTCTGCGCCAGAAACGTTGCCATATACTCCCACGATGGTATCACGTTGACGAACGACGAGTCCTTTTGCTTCTCTTCCTACTAGACTTGTGATGTTGGCAGAATCATCTGCAAAATGATGCATCCAGTGATCTGTTCCGTGTTGCCCATGATATGAGACGCTCGAACGTGTGATTTGAATTAGTCGAACAACTCCCTTAGTACCAGATCAGATACACCTCCCACCGTGTTGAGCCCCTATATCTCTGCCTGAAAGACGTCTATTTTTAAACCTTTTCTTCAACAAATTAAGTGATATGGTATAAATATCGTTTGTGATTTCCAGTGATCGAATTGCATCCAACTATGAATCCTTCAGGCACGACCAAAGATGCTACAGCTTTTCGATTCCTTCTAAATAAGGATGATTTAATATAACGTTTGTGAGCATAGAATAAAAATCGGCCCATTCAGTGTAGGCAACTCTAATGAGGGTAGTGCCAGTGGTGCCTTAGCGCCACTAACTGTCTGCACGGGCAGCACAATTTGGTCATGAAATGTTGACCAGGCAATATTGAAGCCGTTCGATCTGCACCAGCCTAACATAAAGACCGCACTCAGACACATGTTAGAGCACTTTGTAGTGTTTGCAAACTTTCATAAAATGCGCTAAAGAAGTCACTCTATTTACAGAGAGCACTGCACCTGTAGACATTTCAAGCTGTAGATTTTTCAAGCTTTCATCAAATTATGTGTAAACTAGTGGAGTACGTAACAAATGTGTATACCGCTCCATAAAAAAAAAAAAAATATAGCTTTAAGAACTTCGCTAACTTAAGCTAAGTAACGAGACAACGGCAATAGCTTGTACATAAACCGTGCTAAAGCGAAGTGGTTTCTGAACTCTTACCACTGTTTTTGCTTATTGTAAAACAATACTTGAACAACAAAAGAAATTCACGTCAGGAAGAAATAATTATACTATTGTATTTTACATATATGTTTTCGACTTGCTTGTATATTTGTCGAAATTAAGAGTAGCAGGAAGACTCGATTAAGTCTGCTAATTTTCTAATTTTAAATGTTTTATACAGAGGCAAGCGAACCCGATTCGGTACGTGCTGATTACAACAAAGTGACAATAAAATTATTAGAATTATGATGGTGAACGATGCGTACCAAATGCACGAAGCGAACGAAGATACTGCCATGCTGTGCAGCGAGTCAGTCGCTGCGTAGCATCGAGAGCCCTTAGCCCTTGGCATGAGATAATGCTAGGGCAATAAATGATCGTAACGGAGAAAGTTGCCAAATCATTTATAACAATGATGAGATATTTATGAATAGCGATTGCTTCGCAGAGCAACGTTATAAGTAAAATGCCCAGCTTTTATCAGTTGCGAGGTCGCTCCATCTGTTTTGGCTGCGTAACGAGAAAAATTTTTATTTTTTTTATAAATCAACTTAATGCATATTTATACAAAACATCAGTGAACACATTGAAAATTAGATTTTATAAAAATAGAAATTAATTTGAAACAGAAACTTCATACACCTCCGTTTTGGAAATTAGATAAGAGTAGATCTAACTTAAATTTTACATTTTTCAATTTGTGGTGGAATTTCCACGTAACTGGTAAATAATTTATGAAAAGACAAAGAAGACAGATTAGTACCTGTTTGATAAATATTAGAGAGCTGCATGGCTTCACTCACAACATATGTACGTTGAATTGAATGGACTCGAATTGAATTGAATTGAGTGCGAGGATCACAATGAAACGAATAAGTACCAATGTGAGTGTGTGTTGTGTCTCATACCAGACGGCATTCATCGAAATGAGTGAGAACAAATAAAGCGTAAAGCGGATGAAAAATTTGGCACAGCTGAAGAAACTCGAATTACTCGAGTGCGTGCCTTCATTTCGTTCGATACAACAGACACAAGCAGTCAAAAGAAATGGGCGAAGAAAAAAACGGTGACGAGACTTTGCAAACGCATTTTGTTGTTTTTGTTTTGTTTTTTCCCTTTCTTCTTTTTCATTTTTGTCTTTTTCCTTATGCGCGACAAGACAACAACAATTAAAAAAGCGGCTAGTCATTCGAATGCATTCGAAACGAAATCTCTTATTCCAACGCATTCCCACTCATTCCATTCGTTTTCTTTCGTTTCAATGTTGTGCGTCCGAGTTCTACGTGACCGCACTCACTCACACAAACAAATTCGGCTTTGCATTCAACTTCACTCATCTCATTTCTGGCATTGTTCATTTGAACGTGTTTTTTTTTCCCATTCATGTAGCTCTGTAATAAATATACATTTAATACGCGTCGGGCAGACATTTCTTGACAAAATTATAATACCCGATCCACGTGTATATCAAAAGCATATATTTATATTAAAGCAAATTTGATCAATATTATAAAATTTGCAACACACAATTTTTAAATTACGTAGAAATTTAATTTGTATGCGAGCTTTATAAATAAGGTCAATAAAATAATGAAACATATACTTTATAATTTTTGTAGATTCTTCAAAATGAGTAATGCCAATTGAGTAAAGTGAAAACTGTTTCCTTTCAATTCTTAAGGATAGTATATTCCGAACCCCTGCCTTATTGTAAGCTTATTTAAACAAGTAAGAGGTTCTAGTCGAGAGCTCCTGACTAGGGGATACTCCGAACCGTCTAAATCCAAAACTAAATGCAGCTCGCGCTACGCGCTCGTTTGTAGTACCAAAGATACTTTTAAAATAAAATAAGTTCGTTTGGTTGGATTCCAACTCGTAACTTACCGCATTACTTGCTGCCGACTCTTCTCACCAGCCACAAAAAAAAAAAAGTTTAATTGGTAGGGTTTGCAACAAACCGCATTACTTGCTGCCGACTCTACTCAACAGCCACACCAAGAATTGAGTATTAATGAGAAAAAAAAAACGAATTAAAATAGCAGCACAGAAAACAATGCAATCACAACTGCAATGCTGTTGATAGAATTTTGTATGTAAATGTATAGAGAAATTCTAGGAATTTGCGTTTGCTGCCCCAAGCTCGAGGCCAGAAAAACATGTTTTATTTAATAACTTCTGTGTTTTTTAACCGATCTTGATGAAATTTTCTACATCTTATTGTACTATAGAATATTCGTGTATTATCAAAAAGTCAATTGCATTTTTATTTTGGCTTATATTGGTGGGCAGCGTAATTTGATATTTTACTTGATTTAGAGCTATGAGGTAGTAGCGGGGAGATGGCGATAGGTATAAAATGAAAGATACTCGATATATATAATATTCTAGAAGCTACATGTCAAATTTAGTGACTCTAGCTCTTAATATTTACCCAACTTGCACAAATAACAGGATGTCGATATCGATGTTTATCGATTTCGCGGAAACGGGGCAAGATATCGAATATCGGAAACAAACGATCTGCGCGGGCACTATGAGGACCTACAGCTAAAGTTTCAAGTCTCTAGCTCTTATAGGTTCTGAAATCCCTGCGTTCATACATACGGACGGACGGACGGAGGGACGGACGGACATGATGCTGATCAAAATTCTAGAGCGTATAAAAAGTAAGCTTCTGTAAAAAATTCAGATATATGTAGCGCAGATATATTAAAAATGTCATATTTTTGTATATTTCATCACTATAACTTTGACCTTTCAAAGTATAAAATAGATAGATAGATAGATGGGCAACTTACACAGCATAATTTGGAAAATAAAATCACTTTTTCTCAGTTAATAGCAATGTTTCTATTATCATTTTTTTCAAAATTATATACATTACCGGCATACATGAAATTACAACTGGAAAAACATAATGCACGATTGGAATGGTATGGTATGATTCCACAGGTTGCAATATTATAGTATACAGAAATTGAATTAATGAGTTATTCGCGTATTTTGTATTACTATGTATGTGGTTATTATACGTATGTCTGCATGTATATGTATGTACATCTGAGTATATTTTTCTCCTCATTTAAATACTTGTCGACATCAATTTCACATTTTACAAATAATACAAATGCATTAAAGCATACCAAACCTAAATATCTAATTTAAACTAATAGGTAATCGGTGAATTAAATAAACTTAAGGTATAATATTTGCATATACGAGTACGTATATAGTGTGTGCCGCTACGTATAGATGTAGTTGGGAAGCAACTTGCTGTGAAAACTTACAGCCCACATAAAACAAAATACAGTGAAGTGGAAATATTTTTTCCACCTTTCTTGATGTTGATTAGATTAAATATTTAGCCTACCTTTTTATTTAAACAGTTGTATCTCGCCACAATAAAATTAAGTTAATAAATATTTTCATTTTTTTTATATTACAAAAGCGTCGCGCTTACTATCTTGATTTTTCCTCAGGCTAAGGGTGTAATTTAGAGGTAGGGCAAATGAGTACAAATTTTTATTGACATTGGGATGGAAGTGATTGAAATTTTTAAAATTTCTATTATTTAAAAAAGTTTTGTATAGTTTTCCTAGAAGGTTATCATCGACTTGGCGTTATTGGTGACGCCGGTGTTATGCCTATTATGCTTCCAGGTACACTGCTATGGTTAACACTTGTACCAGGCGCATTAACCACTAAACCCATACTCTGTTCACCTTCCTTTTTAGTTGCTACGGATGGATGAATCATGGAGTCGCCAGTTATGATGTGTTGTACTGCCATATTCATTGAAGGTTGTGGTGGTCCCTTCCCAATTCCAATTGTAGCCAATTGTGTTTGTGAATTTTGTGAAGGCGGTGGTGCACTTGATGAAGCAATTATATTTACACCTGAAGGTGGCTGCATTCGAAGATGTGTGGCCGGACCTAAAGGACCCACTGACGGTGGCGGTATGGGACTTGGTTCCTTACCTCTTAGATGAGCTGCCGATTGCGCTGCATACATGCTTAAGGCTTTTTGACGTTCCTCTGCTTCGTGACGAAAAGCAGCCTCCATTATAGGGTTGTATCGTAAAATAGGAGCGTATGGATCACGATATGGATCAATACCCCATGTTGGCGGGCCAGGCGGACCAAAATGTGCTAGTGGTCCACTAACACCCAACGAAGGTGGCATCAAATTTCGGGTAAGGTGTGATGGTGGCGGTAACCCATGTCGCCCCGCAACTAAGAAATTTGCATGATGATGTGCAGCTGCAACTGCTGCATTTGCCTGAGCAGTTACGAGCGAAGGGGGATGATAGCGTGGATCCCCTACACCAGCTGCCGCTGAAGCACGCATAAGCATTACATCTTGCTCGTCTTTTGTGCGAGGATGTTCTTCTTTGATGCGTATTTCAGCATTAAGTTCACAAATGCTACGATGAGGTGAGCGATCCCGAGGTGTGGATGAAGAGGCCGCGGTTGCCGCCTGCTTATTGTTCTCGCTGATCCGCTGTTGCTGTAGCAAACGTTCACGTTCGATTTCGCGGCGTTCTATTTCACGTCGTTCACGCTCTTTGCGCTCACGTTCGCGTTCTCGTTCTCTCTCACGTTCCTGCTGCTCCCGTTTTAATTTTTCTTCTTTTTCTTTGCGTTCGCGTTCTTCACGTTCTCGTCTCTGCCGGTCGCGCTCTCTCTGCTCACGTTCTCGTATCTCTCGCTCTCGTTCTCGATCTTCTGCTTCCCGTCGTGCATTTTCCAGGGCGGGATCGGATTTAATTGGCCAGCAGCTTGGTCCAGCGGTAGCTGCAGGATGGTACGGCATAGAGCGAGGAACTGAACTAGTTCTGAAAAATGTAATTGAAATTTATATATTTTAAGCCCGAGCTATTGGTCTAGTATGCCTTAAATGTTTACTTAACACGAGTTTATATGAGCAAGACAAGTAAGAGTGCACGATGCAACACATCTGATCTGATGAGCACAATTTGTAATTTAGTCGTTTGTTGTTGGGAATGTTTAATATATGTAGCATTTATAGTGTATGTTATATGTTGTTGTAGTGTTGTTCTTGTCCTAGGATAATTATTGTGTCAAAGTTTTCGTCTGATGACCTTTTATACAGTGGGTTATGTGTTTTTTTATTTTAATTTTGTCATAAAATGTGTAACGCATAGAAGGAGACATCTCCAACCCCATGTTGTCTAGATCAGCATCAACAGCCGGGTTGATGTAGACATGTCCGTCTGTCTATTTCTATGCAAACTAGTTTATTGTGTATAGATCAGTAATTCCGTGGCACTTCAAATGTCAGCCCCCGCATGGAACTATTATTTCATGTCCATAGGAATCATCGGTCGAAAGGTTTTTGTATGAAAAACTTTGTTGTTTATCGAGATCTTGATCTTCATCTTATCTTAACCAAACTCGGTATTTAAAAGTTTCTTTAAGTCCTCTACTTATATACAAAATCTATTTAACATCGGACCACAACATCATATAGCTGCCATAGGAGCTACCATTTCTTCCATGAACAACTTTTCTGTTTATCAATCTATTTAACTCAGTTCGGCATTTCTTAATTTAGGTATGCTCCTCATATATATGCAAAATCTTATCAGCATATCTTATATTATATCATGAAAACATGTTTTTTAGCCAATTCACTTAGGTTTTAAGAGTTAAGTCACCAAATTTGATATGTAGCTTATATAATAGTATATGCGGGTCAAAAATCGGTTATTGGCTATTGAGTAGAAGCAATGGCAAGTAGTTCGGTTGCTTAAGGGTTCAAGTTCTATTAAGGAATTTATGCTCTTTAAAATTTATGTTTATCGTAGGTTCAGGTTATCCCCTAAGCTCCCGACTAGAGCCACTTATTTGTACGCGCACACATACGCACATACGCTTTCGCTAAAGCAGCATGCGCATGGCTGCAGGCCTATGGCAATGTGCAGTCGGTATCATGCAAAATCTATGGAATTTTTTTCTAGTGTAAAGTACTCTGTGTACAAATATAACGCGAACAGTTTTGAATTGCTGAGAGTGGTCCCAACAAATAAAGAAACCATCAAGTGGACTGAAATATAAGATTTATTAAATAAATCTTATAATAATATAATTAACACACAAACCAACAAACGACTAAACTACAGGGCAGACACAGAAATTTGCGCTCACTTGTACGTACGTGTAAAATCATGTATCTAAAATGTTCAAATTAATGTTTTAACTCTATGTTATCTAATTTTTATTTTTTTTTTTTTTTTTTGTATCTTGGCGTTAGTGCCCTGAAGACGGTTTGCCGATGTGCAACCGAAATATATTGGCAGCAAAAAAAAATAAAAAATATTGTTTCACTGTGTTTTTACAAACCCGGACCTCGAGCCAGCCTAAAAATATTTTAAATATGGAAAGGTCGCCAAAATATCGGTAAAACGATGATGAAGAAACAAATAGTGACAGTGGAAAATTGGTAGACAATGGTATAGTGGTTTTATGCAAATGTATGTAACAGCAAGAAGTATGCGTGTCCGTAGCCATAAAGTAATATTCCCGATCAAGACGACGAACTGAAACGATTTAGACATGTCTCTCTGTCTGCATCAACGCGTCGACCTTGAAACTAGATACACGAAATTAGAAATATATATTGTAGACCATACGCAAAACGAGTTTTTAATGAGACACACAGCGGACTTGTGGTTTCATTTAAATCTTGGAGCAAAAATGTGTCAGTTTGTATTTAGCAGGAGCTCAGGTACTTATTTCAACTCCGCTGTGAGCTGTGATTATTTAGTGACCCTTCGTCTCCAATCTAGAAATATTCTCTGTTCCAAATAGCTTGATTCCCAGTAGCCAAAAGCACAGCTTGGAGCAACTGGAGAAACACATTACTTTCAGATTTCCGAATTTCGTACTGTATTTTCTTTGAGTTCAGAGATTATTGCACATTGATATTTCTCGATGTATCTCAAGATATTGACTTCCTCTGGATAGACGGCGTGATGCATATCGTAAGATCTGATCTCTAGAACAGAACACTTCAACTGCCTACAAAATACAATTAACTGGCCAAGTTTTTCATCAAATTTTAGACATCAATTTTTTCCAGCCCAAATAGAAATAGTTTGAGCTCGAAGCATCGCCCAACAAATCTTTGACACCCATTTCCACCCAGGGTAAATTTCTCAAAAAGTGTAAAACACGTCGCATATTCTTTGCAAATGGCTTTATAATTTTGGGTTGTAGCAGAAACAGCTGGGTAATGTGTTTGCAACCGCCGGGTCGCTGGTGTATGCAACTTATAAAAAAAAACCACAAGCAGGTCAGAAGTTCCCGACTAAGGGATACCCTGAACCCAAAAGTAACTGTAATAAAAATAAATTTTAAACAAGTAAGAGGTTCTAGTCGGGATCTCCAGACTAGGGGATACCCTGAACCCTCTTATTCCAACACCAAATAAATTAATAAAAAAAAGTTCCCTTGGCAGGGCTCGAATTTGCAACTGACCGCATTACTTACTGTCGACTCTACTCAACAGCCACACCAGCAAAAAAAATAATAATACTTTCCCCGGTAGGGCTCGAATACGCGACAGACCGCACCACTTGCTATGCCTCTACTCAGCAGCTACACCAACAATTAAGTACTTATGATATAAAAAGGAACTAAAATAACATTATAAAAAAAAGATGCAATTACCATGCTATTAGAATGCGAAGCAGACGCGCATGAATGTGTGTGTGTACATGTATACAGAAATTCTTAAAGCTGCTGCCCCATTCAATTGCGCAGTTGCATATAACTTTGGTATTTCTTAACCGATCTTTTTGAAATTTTCTACAGTATATCTTATTGTACCATAGAATATTTGTGTATTCTGAAAAAATCAATTGCATTTAAATTGTGGTTTAAATTGGTTGGCAATAAAAGTTGGGTTATTAACTTGATTTATAGCTCTGGGGTGGTAGCGGGGAGGTGGCGATAGGTATGAAATGAAAGATACTTGAAATATTTATAATATTCTAGAAGCAACATATCATGTTTGGTGGCTCTAGCTCTTATTATTTACCCAATTTGCTAAAAAGAACAGGATGTCGATATCGATTTTTATCGATTGCTTGGAAACGGAGTAAGTTATCGATTATCGGAAACAAACTCGATCTGCGCGGGAACTAGGAGCATCTACATCTAAATTTCAAGTCTCTAGCTCTTATAGGTTCTGAGATCCTTTGGCCCCTACATACGGACGGACGGACGGACGGACGGACGGGCGGACGGACAGACAGACGGACATGGCTAAATCGATTCGGCTATTGATGCTGATCAAGAATATATATACCTTATGGGGTCGGAGATGCTTCCATCTGCCTGTTACATACATTTGGATTTTGCACAAATACAATATACCCTTATACCCATTTAATGGGTTCAGGGTATACAAATATATCTTTTCTTCAAAAGGAATTGAACCCGTTACAGACCCTCTACGCGACAGATGCCTCTACTCGACAGCCGCATCAACCATTCATATTCAACGAAAAACGAAAAGAATTGCTATCTTCGGCATAATAATATCCTTGCAGACCCAACATTTTCATATCTAAGAAGCACAGGGAAAATAGTTATTGCCGAGTATGGTTAAGATAAACAAAAAAGTTTTTTTCATACAGAAAGCTACTTTCAGATCGATCGTTCCAATGGCAGCTACATGATAACTAAAGTTTCCGACATATATACTGAGTGCAACAGAAAGAGGAATTTCTGCAACGTTTCATAACTATATCTTTAAAACATAGAAACAGACAGACGGACGGACGGACAGACGGACGACGGACAGACGGACATGGCTATATCGACTCGGCTGTAGATACTGATCAAGAATATATATACTTTATGGGATCAGATATGTCTCCTTCTATGCGTTACACATTTCACATTACCCTCTGCTAGGGTTTTAGAAACGTATTAAAATAGCAGCACATACACACAGCACAGAGAATAGCACAATCGCAATTGCAATGTTGTTGATAGAATTAAAAAAAAAACGCCCATGAATGTGTGCGTATGTACATGTATACCGAAATTCTTGCAATGCTAGCTGCAGCAAACACGTGTCAATATAAGCACACACTATCTTTAGTAACTTTTGTGTTTCTAAACCGATCTTGATAAAATTTACAACAGTAGACCTTATTGTTCAAAATAATATTCAAGAAGACATTTACTTCAAATTTGTAGTTTGATGGGCAGGGTTCAAATTGGTATATTTATTGGATTCATAGCTATGGGGTGTATATATACTATTCAAAATGCTATGTCAAATTTAACTCTACCTCTTATTACATTCGAGATATTCTCAAAAAACAGGATTGCAATATCGATTTTTATGAATTGCTTGTTAGCATGGTAAGTTATCGATTATCGGAAACAAACTCATACAGCATGGGCGCTAGGAGCACCTACGTTCAAAATTTTAGTCAATAGGACTTATAGGTTCTATGATCTTGCATTCATACATACGGACGGATGTCGGATCACCTCAGCTATTGATACTGATCAAGAATATATTTAAGGGGGGAGATGTTTTCTTCTGTCTGTTACATACATTTGTACAAAATCATTATACTCTTTTACCCATTTTTAATGGGTTTAAGTTATAATAAACTTATTTTCAAAGAACCCTTTTTAAATTCATTTGATGAGATGAATTTTGAAAAATGTACTCCCCTGGGTTGAAATGGAAGTCAAAGTATGGTTAAAAGATTATTTTTCGTGTTAAAGCTTTACATCAACAAACTTTAACGTAATTCCAACCTTTGGTTATTAATTTGATAGATTTCAA